GGTCGAGGCAGACGGCCACCCACCCAGAGCCGAGGGGTCTGTTCGAGGTTTCTGCCTCTTAAAAGGAAGTTTTTTGTCGCCAAATGCTTGCTCACCCACCGTGAAAAAAACTGTTGGGTCTCTGTAAATAATGTTATAAGGAGTTCGGTCTAGAGCTCCTCTATTTAAAGGTGTCCTGAGATTAGTTTTGTTAGGAATTGGCGCTATACAAATAAAACTGAATTGAATTGAATTGAACCTCCGTCCATTTCCCTGCACAGAAAGTGAGGTTGTGATGCATATTTAAATAATAATAGGCAGCAAGGAGTTGTGCACTTGGCACTGGTCTTTGGATGTGGATCAGTATAACTTCCTGTGCCCCAAAATGGATCTCTCCGCACTGTGACCCAGAACAAAAAAAAACCTGGCCATATCTGTGCAACACAAAGAGAGAAACCAGCCACCACCTGAAGCTTAACACAGAGAACTGCTCTCATCTACATCAAGACATCAACACACTAAAAGACTCTAAAGTGTCCCAGCTGCTGGCAGCAGTTTATCAGCGTCATTGGAATGTGTTGAAAGTGTGTGTGTGTGTGTGTGTGTGTGTGCGCGCGTAGGACAATGAAGCCTAACGTCCTCTTATTACCCAAGTCTGAAACTCCAGAAATCTCTCTATCAGTCCTCTGCTGGTTGACAGATTCAGAAACCTCTTTTCATCAGGGATAAAATGAACTTGGCACTGACTGCTAGAGGGTTTTGGCTTTCCTCTCAAGGTCATCCTCGCTTTGAGGTAGGCATTTTTTATTTATTTTTTTTGCCCATGGCATGGGTATATTTCAGGGGGCTGGCCTAGGGAGAAACATCAGCCACAGAATTAAATGCCTGCACACTGACAAACCCTAACCTTCATATTGATAACATCATATTATTTTGATAGCCCGATCAAGCGGCTGCCCTCAGTGAAATGATAATTTCTCCAAAAACCTGCCGTGATTTGGCATTAATGTAATATAAAACATGATTTCCATTGTTGTAATTTCTTCAGTGCAGTGAGTGCTCACAGGGCACTGAAGGGCTGTTGCCATGGCAGCTCCTAGTTGGCAGACAAGAGAAAAGGTAATTTTTCTTTCAATAAACAGATTTATTGTGGAAAAGGCTTCAAAGCCGCAGTGAGTAACTTTCTAAAAACAACTTCAGTTCTATTTACTGAAAATATCCTGTCAGTCATACATTGCCTTATGTGTTTCTTATTTATTGAACAGTTTATTTATTTGTTGTAAACCAACATTAATGTCATGTCAGCACTGTCATTGTTTGCTGTTAACTTATTTTTTTAAACTTTATTAAACAATAATTAAAAAAAGGAAAGATCTGGTTCCTCTGGCTCTTTCCTAAAGAAATTTGCCTGAACAAAAGCAACCAATCAGAGATAAGACAGTTGAGCTGTGACTCAACAATCAACTCTCTCGGCTCTCATTGGTTGTTTTTGTTCCAACATGGTGGATTCTTGTAAATGCCATCAGGAACTAGGAGGAGGAACCTTTCACAGATTATAATGTCCTACTGTCAGAATATAATGAAGGTTTCAGCAAATATGACAAAAAGTTACTACTTTTCTATATTGTCTTGGTCTCATTGGTAGTTCCATTCGGACATGTCTCTCAGACTCGAGTCCACAATATATGTTGTTGTTTTTTAAGTAAGTTCCTCCTTCAAAACAAAACCACTGATGAACCTATTGACTCTTAACCCCACCGTGAATCTATACATTACATTAATGTACTTCCATTGTTTGTTTTTAATCTTGCACATTGCAGATATAATTATATGTCACACTGCTAACTTACAGATTCCTCCGGTTAAATCTTTTCACATTATAGCTCTTTACTTATTTATTTAAGTATCCGGCCATTTTGTACATATTCTCTCTCTCTTTATATTTGTATATAGTTTATTGTCTCTATTTCTATCGTTTTCTTTATTTATATATAATATTAACATAAGCTTGATTGTGATTCTTATGCACCAATGCACTAAGTACTATGTACAATGCACCAGGGCAAATTCCTTGTATGTGAATTTAATTGGCAATAAACCTGATTCTGATTCTGATGAAGCTGTTTATTCTGAAAACAGGTCTTGGTTTATTCAAAATCCATCTGGACATTGATATTGTCCAGACTCATAAGACTCACTCTTAATTCAGACTCACACCTATTTGGACTTGGACTCGGTCTTGACTAGAACTGGTCTTTGACTTGTGTTGGACTGGGTAAAGGTGGTCTGGTCTACAGCACTTGAATGTGAGCCTGTGCCATCTTAGATTCTCTCGTTCATTATTGAATACAGTATTTCCATCGGCTGCTCTCAAGTTTCCCTTTCACTCATCAGTCAGGCATGCAGATCTAAAGTTACTGCTTTGATTAATTCATTGTGCTGACTGTATGCTTGCCTGTCAATGCAATAATGAATTAATAAACAACCATTTTTAGAATGACAGGGCTTTTTTTTTCTCTCTGTCAGATCTCTATCGTACTTTATTATGTTGAAGAGTTGCTTCACATTTAAACTTCACACCAATGAAACTGCCAAGTAAAGCCTCACCGAGTATCATCGTTCCATAGTAGCACATATAAAAGGAACACTGCTGTATTATTTCACACATATTTAATACAGGAGGTGACTACTACAAAATTGTTTTTTAGTATTTAAATGTAAAACTCAGCTCGAGTAAAAAATATAGTCTTTTCTTCTTGTTACAGACGGGTGTTTGAGCTTCACTGAGTTCAGAGTTTGACACAAAAAGGATGTTTTCAGATTCATAGAAGAGTAGAGTAGTGGCCTTTTTAAGGATTTTAATGTGGAAATTATACTTTCTTTGCAGAATAAAACATATATTGGTTGTTTTACCACAGATTTTGCCACTGAGTCTGCAGAATAAATAAAGCAAGGAACCTTTGAAGGAGGGTTTATTTAAATATTACTAACTTACAGCATCACAACATGTGATCCAAACTTAATCCTACATCTCCCAACAGCCCTGTCCATTACCAGCTTGATGCTGTACTTTACATGGATAGTAACACGGTCAAAAACATACACCGACTCCATATTAACATGTCATAACAACATATTTGACCACATAAAGCTATGTAACTTTAGAGGCTCTTACAACCTCAGATATACATTATT